TGGAAGAAGTTTCACTCTTATTTATCACCTTTACTTGGCTTGATACAAAGCTTGATACTCCACCCCTATTTATACTAGTGGCACCTCCTAAATTAATGGCTAGGATTGTGCCACCACAATTACAATCCAATGGTTACAAATAATTCCACACCTACCACACAATAATTCAACACCTACCACACCTACCACACCTACTACACAATAATTTCATACCTACCACATATTCTAGAATAAGCTTATAGAAATTAAGCTTTATTTAAACAACTAAAACAAGTTTATATTTCAACACGCGTACCCTCTAGAAGAGAAGCAAGGATTAACAGCTCGGCGGAGATGATCGGTTTTCGGATCCTTCTGCTCTCTGATCTTCACCGATGAGATGGGGCAGTATGCATCGCGGATGCATCGCGGCAGTCGTCGAAAGCTAGCGGCTTGGACTGGGCCTCATGTCGGATCTCGTCGGAGAGGGTTGGGTGGCTCACGGTGGCAAGGGAGCAGACAAGAGAGAGTTAAGACCCACAAAAGTCGTCGTTCTCTTTTTCTTCTTCCCATTTATAAATGTTCTCAGTTTTTGCTAAATTAGGGATTTTGTTTTGAAAAAAAAAAAGATTTTGTAATTTCTGAGCTGTTATTTTCACTCGATCTTTGATTCATTCATGTCATTTATAATAAATTCTATTGTATTTTCACTCGAGTTTGTTCTAAGGCAGACAGTTATGAACTCTTAACAAAACCATATGGACAAGGAGCTGATCATTATCATCATCTTGTCCGCGCTTGCTGATATTGCAATAGCTCTATTTGCCATTTTTGCCTGGATCTCCTGCCGAAAGAATCATAAAGGTTTACTTTCTGAGTTTTGATCTTGAGAAGAAACTCATTTGAACTCTAGTTATAGTAATTCATTGGGAAATCAGATGCAGATTCTTCGATTAAAAGGATTTCCTTGACTCCAGTTTTTAGCAAGTTGAGTTCATTGAAGGTTGTTTGCAAAATAGCTGTTGAATTGATTCGAATAAAAAAATTTCCTTGACTCCACATGAATATTGAAGTGATCCGGCCACACGCATTTTCTTGGTATGGTAGAGAATAAATAGATGTGAATAGCATAGATTTATAAACCTAGGCAAAGATCAAGAAATATATCATAAATATCATGTTAATAGAGACATTCAAACAATACTATCTAGAAGAGTAGATATTAGCACAATATCGAGTGGAAAACCAAAAAGAAATAGAACTTAAAACAACATTCCATCATTAGAATTTGGTAACTAACAAATGAGACAGTTCGTATAGTCATTTGGCATGCTGTAGTGTTAAAATTTGTTATAATTTTTGTTTCTGTTGTATCATATATAAGATTGTCATTGCTCTGTTCCAAACCGTTTAACTAAAAAGGAAAAAAAATTGTCATTTTTCCAGAAACAGCTACCCCATAGCTCTGCAACAAACAACCAGTCAGCTTTCCCGCAGCAGCTTCCTGGGGCAGCGCAGTTGAAGCTGAAAAGCTGGAAAGCTGCAGCTGCGCCAAACAGAACTGTAATCCAACTGAAAAAGTAAAATATTTGATAAACCTCATAGTTGTTAAACCCTAAAACCTAAACAAATTTTTCAACGCAAACGAAAATAAAAACAAAAAATGAAGATAACAAGTTGCCTTCCTTGGCCGTTTCGAGTAGCGGAGGAGCGGAAGGAGGGGAAAAATGGGAGTTTCCTGTCACTATAAGTCGTGATCTCGCTGCTGCATTGCCAGCTAGTTCCTTTTCTGATTGTATCACAAGGGTTTGGGGGACGAAAACGATGGTTTTTGATGAAATAGAATGGGACAAGCGAGAGTTTTGGGGAGAGGCGAAGGCTTCGGGTAGAAAGGATGAGGGTCGGGAGGTGAGATTAGAGCAAGACCGGGAGAGAGGTGATTTCAGACGGGATATAGGATTAGTTTTGATGGCTTATCAACAACTTTTATTGCATCAGTTATTTAAAATATTGCCGACGGTTGTTCTCGTCGCTTAATAATAAAATGCATATGTTATAATCCCGCTAGATAGTGGGTTCTAAGATAAGCGACAAACTATAGCAATCAGTCAATATTTGCTTATAATCAACCAATTATTCTGTCAGTTATAACTAAGTATCGTTAGAAAAAATATACTATTGATAAGAGACAGTATATGTTATAGCTATGTTATCACAAATAACTAAAGTAAGAAACAACTGCAAAGCTGTCGGCAATTAGAATACTTTTTTTGGCGTGTAAAAGCCGTCATTTTTAGCTAATTTTTCCTCCAATGTCAATTCTTTCTTTTTTTTTTTTTTTCCTTATGTTATACTCATAAAGGTTGAATTAAAAGTGCCAACATTGTGTTTTTTTGATATTTTCCATCGAAAGAATCATATTATGAGGTCCCTATTTCATTACCAAACCCTATTTCAAAAGTAAGTTGCATACATGTTCTATCACATGCTCATTAATTTATTATTTATATAAATCATACCATACTATTTATGGATATGCCCATAGCTTTCCATTCTTACGCATTTAAATATACAAAAAATTAAAATATAGATGATAAAGAATGCCAAAAAGTCTTGCATTATCATATCAAAACATCTATATAAATTAATATTTAGTTTGTGCTCTACACATCTTTAAATAAACAGCATGTTACTTCACTTAAATAAAAGATTAAGATTAAGAAATACCTTATTCATCATGACCATCTCATGAATCATAAAACCAATCATAAAAACTTTTCATGGGAAAAAGAAAATCCTCCTAAACATTGGTCATTAATTCAAGAACTCACCCATCATTGTCTTTGTTCCCTTCTCCTCCTTCTTACCTTGCACCAATTTCTCAAAGCTCTTATGAAAATGCTTTATTACATCTGAGACCCATTTAACAATTAAAATATTAACAAAAATATCATTTAATATCTACTAAAAATCTCTATCATGGCCGATTTTTATATTGGTTAATAGCCCTCAAATTATATTCATGCAAATCATGCATGCTGAAAAACGTGGAATGGTCTAGAGTATAGTAATTAGGGATGTAAACGAGCCGAGCTTGTGCGAGCTCAGGCTTGGCTCGTGTTTGGCTCGTTCGAAATAGCTCGTGTTCGAAATCGGCTCATGTTCGAAATCGGCTCGTGAACAGTGTGTTCGTGTTCGGCTCAATTTTTATATTCGTGTTCGTGTTTGGCTTGTGTTCGGCTCGAAATTGGCTCATTAAACTAAGATTGAGAAAATAAGATGTAAAGTGTGAGATTCAAACCTGGATCAAATCTATACAAAAGAAGACACTAACCACATTGTCACATGATGTGTTATGATTTAAACTTAGACATAAATATATATAATATAATATTATATAAATAATATATGTAATATATTGTTATATAAAAAGTTATATAATTTTTTTTTCTTCGAGCTTAAAAGTTTGTTCGTGTTCGGCTCGTTAGGCTTAACGAACGAGTCGAACATGTGCTGCTTAACGAGCCGAACACGAGCTGTTCACGAACAACGAGCCAAACTGACAACCCTAATAGTAGTCATTTAGCCATGTGTGAAAAAATACATTAAACGTTTTTCATGTTTTTTTCATAAAACATAAAGTAATTGTCATATGGGTAATTTTTCTAAAATGTCATCATTAACTAATTTAATTTATTAAAATACTATAAATTATTTAAGCCGTAATTCGGTGTCATTAATTATTTAAAAAAAAATAAAGAAATATAGTGAAAAATAAAAGAGTATAGAAAAACTAGAGGCAATATTTATATAGGAAGCACGCGATGCTTTTGCATGTATATATCTCGCATCGAAACTTTCATATTTACGTATATATTACTTTGCCGTTTTAACATATGCATGAAAATATGTATTTCACTTTTTAAAAAATAATAATATTATTATTTTTTACGTGATATTAAAGATTTGAGACTTATGTTGTAAATGTGAAAGTATAAGTATTATATATATATGTAAATACATAAGAACCGTGGGCTATGTAAATAAAATCCCCTAATTAAAATGAATCAAATCGAATACTTTCATATTATAAAATAAATATATGATAATTCGTTTTCTATGCTAAAATGATATTATAATGCATTATTTATATTTTTTTTTATTCAAAATGATCACATTATAATGGTAACATATATCTTACTGAAGTCTAGCATTTGACCAAACCTTATATTGCTTGCCTCCTAATGCCCAACTTTGAACATCCAGCATTAAATAGTATCCTGCACTTATTGCTCAATGGCCATTCAGAAATATAAAAGTTAAGATATCTCCTCTCATAAATCATATATATAATATTGTTTTTAGCTTTTTTTCCTCTAGTCATTTGAAAGGGCCATTTATTATACCTGACCAATACTTGTAAAAATTTTCGGAAATTATTCTCATTTAAATTTTGAAGCTGCTGCAGAAGAAATTGCTATTTAACAAAGTCAGGTGGTTATTACTTTTTTTTTTTTTTTCATAGAAGTCAGATTGTAGCTTTCATGCAGCCACGAAACATAGCGAGATAATGATGCAAAACAGAACTTCTCATTGCTACTTTTTCGCAAAAAAAAAAAACAGACAAAATTCAATTTTACCAAACACCAAAAGTTACAGCGCACTACCGTTGCCCCCCAAATACGAAAAATTATTACGTCTAAATGAGATAGATGCGGATTATTATATTTTTGATGGTATCGGCGGTGGTATTGTAGTAATGGACTGATGGTGTGATAAAATAACACCACAATACAACCAGCTCCACGAAAAAGTACAACCAGTCGTACACACACCCTACACCTAATAATGAATTTAGGTCATCTTTTTTTTTTCTTTTTAATAAACAATTTTTTATATCACTTATTATGTTTTTTTTCTATTCGTTCTGGACCAGCTAGGTAGTTCGTTAGGAAAGCGCGAGAAAACTCAACTGCAAGTCAAAATCTTGAGTGCTGGTAGTTGGAGTGGCTCAAGCTTATATATGAAGTACAGCTTCTTCCCATGCAACGCATTTGCACTGCTTGCGGCTATGGCCATGGAATGTTTAAAGGTACATATATACTCCATTAATGTTTTATATTTTATATATATGCCCTTTCATTCTGCTAATTAATTTTTTAGCCTTGCCTTTTTCTCAGGAGTATTCCTCAAAGCTCATCAGCCTGTTCTTCGTTGTCCGTTCGACCTGGAAGAAGCCAGTTTTTTAAATCATGGATTTAACTAATAATCTTAACTATTCGACAATAATGTCTATAAATCTCACTTTCCAAGTCTTTTAGGTATACCTCTGTCTTTCTTAACATATGTTGAATCTAAAACATCTGCTCTCTTAACTGAATCATCAGATGGTTGATGCTTAATGTGACCAAACAATTTAAAACTCTAATCTTATTCGTCATTGTAGTTGCACCAACCCTATCACGAATATACTCATTTAGCATTTTGTGTGTAAGTGTCAAGTCGCTCATCCACCCAAGCATTCTCAGCATTACATGTTTCATCTTATAAAAAATAATTATTTATAATAAATAAATAAATAAAGTATAATAAGGAACAACATTACTATTACAGAAATCGCTTTATTCTATAAATATGAAATTCAAATCTGCAAGAAGAACTTTTGGTTGACTTTTTGTGTGAGTAATTGGGTGTGCTTCAAGGTCGAAAGGTCAACGAAAAAGAGGTGCATGAGATGCCAAGGAAGAGCTCGTTCTATTACAGATCAGTCTATATCGCCCTGATACATAATTAATTTAAAGGTCAGTAGTATTAAATATTTTATTGTTTTTGTAGTTCTAATATATTTTGTATTATTACATTTTTATGTAATATTTCTCTCTTGCAGTTAAGAAAAGAAGATAAAAGGATTAGGAAGTGATGCTTTTGAAGTTGTTCGTATTGAATTGAGAGTTGTGATAGGCGAAAAAATATTACATCAGGACTCCGCACATAGAGTTACGTGCGGAGTCCAACAAAATTACGCCGTCAAGGTGATCGGCCGGGTAACACAAGAAATATTTCCCTCGTGTTATTCCGTGTTGTTCAGATGTTATTGTATGTTATTCAGATGTTATTGTGTTATGGGAATATTTCCGTTGTTATAATAACACAATAACACATCAATAATACTTGAATAATATACAATAACACCTGATACAATAACACCTGAATAATACAGAATAATACACAATAACACATCAATAACACGAGAGGAATATTCTCTTGTGATATAGGGCAGATTTTTTTTTTCTGCATGACGTAATTTCATTAGACTCCGCATGTAACCCTACATGCGGAGTCCTGATGTAATATTTTTTCGTGATAAGCCTTTATATATATATATATTGAATTAATATACTTCATCTGTCACCTTTATATATATTTATATATATACTAGTTTTATTTTAGTGGGATAATATATATGGAAAATAGAAAAATTTGCAGGCATGGTGAGATTATTATATTCTATAGAAATTTTAATTTACAACAAATAAAAAGTAGTGTGAAACAAATACCCTAAAATAAATATGATTCAATCTATTATTTAAATGTTTCACGTTTGATGATTGATTGATATCAAGTTAACAAATAATTTTCATTAAATTGTGAATTAACATTGAAATGCATGGATACTTCCTATAACTATAGGAAAAGTAATAATTAGTTTGACATGGCTATTTGCTCCAGAGCCCCGATCATTTTTTGGTGGAAAATATTTGGTGTTATTTGCGGTGAAATTTACATCGGATTTGCCTCTAATAATTCAATACAAATGAGCACTCAGAGGCAGTGAAATTTAGTGTTATGTTGCACCAGTTTTTAAAATTGATTTGTGTCAAAAAAATTGACACAAAATAATCATTTAAAAGCGTCGAAAAAATCCAATGCAAAGGTGACAGAAAAGTTGACGCACAAGACCTAAAATTGTCATCTCGTTTGAAAAAATTCAATGCAGAGGAGATAGAAAAGTCGACGCACAAGACCTAAAATTGTCATCTCGCGCCCTTATGATTCATTCTTTTCTTCGCACACAGCTCTCGCTCCCGCTCCCTCTCACGTCAGCCAAACATTCTTCCCATTACTTCACCGTCACTGGTTGTCGGTTGCTGGCATCTCGCCGTCTTCGCCCCCCTTACCGTTGTTGATGGCCCTCACGCCCCCGCAGCTCGCTCTTGCTCCCTCTCTTGATAGCCAAACACATCTCCCTTTCTCCCTCAACCATTCAAGCTGTAAGCATGATCTTTTTCCTCTCTTTTAATCTAATGGCAAAGTTTTCTTATTTGTTTTATTGTGTGAGTTATGGATGGATTTCTTGATCATTTGGCGGATGAATTCGTGATATTCGCCTATTCTTGTGTTCATCCTTGGCTTTGTTATGGGATTTGAGGTTTTCTTTTTCTCTCTTACAATGTTTATAGATGGTCTACATTATCGACTAAAGGCTTTCGTTTGAGTAGATCAAAATTTGAAGGCATTGATTAAAATTTTAGTTGTAGTAGATCTAATGGCAGTGTTGTAGGTTATTAAATCATTAGAATGAGTGAACGTTTTAAATTTCTTGAGTCTATTGTTCAAAGTGATGGTGATATAGATGGGTATATTATTGGTAGAATGCAAGTTGAATGGCTAAAGTTGAAGCAAGCATCGAGCCTATTGTGTGATAGAAAAGAACCGCTTAGATTTAAAAGAAAATATTATTAGATGGTGGTGAAACCTGCAAGCAAGGTTTTATGACGTTGAATGTTGGCCTATAAAAGAGAAGCATAAAACTAATTTAAGTGTTGCGGAGATAAAAATGCTTAGTTGGATGAGTGGCTTGAAACTTAGAGACAAAATGCGAAATGAATATGAATCCATGAAAATTTTAGTATAGCTCCAGTGGCAGACAAAATTGAAGAGAGTCATCTTAGATGTTTGATCACAGTAAACATCGACCATTTGATGATCCAGTTAAAAGAGTAGATGTAATAAATTTGACTTTCTTAAAGAAAGGTAGAGATAGATTTAAAAGGACTTGGACATGTTGTATAAGAAAATGTTCTTATTATATAAGAATTAAATGAAAATAAAAATATGACACTCAAAATGAGTCAATAGAGAAAAGAGATTATGTAGTTGATCCCACTTATTGGGATAAAGGCTTGTTGTTGTTGTTGTATAGATATTATAATACCACATTTTCTTGTTATCTGGGTTACCATTGTATAAATGTGCTACAGAACATGGCATGACTATGGAGTTTATATCCATTGATACATTGTTGTGTTGTTGTATGGTTAAAAGAAGTGTCTTAAAGAGATGAATCCAACAAGTCCACGATCAATTAATTTCAAATTCACCAAAATATTTATTGGGTGTTAGTTACTCTCTTACCAGTTTGTAGGTTGGTTGTTTGTAATGTGTGTGTGTGAAACTGTGAAGAAGATACAATGTATAAGAGAGTGGATGTTTATTATTAAATTATTTATGTGTGATATCTATTTGTACTAATCTGTAAAGTTGTATATATGATGCAGATGGATATTCATAATTTGATAGCTTGAATGTATGAAAGATTTTATCCATGACAAAAAGGATTCACTGATGAGTTCTTAAATGATATTGAAGAATTCGTGCAGGTGACATCACAGCTGCCCATCTATCGTTTAAAGGGTAAGTTTTGGTGTCTTTGTGCGAAGCACAAAATTCAGATGTGATTGTGACCTAAAGAAGTTAAGTTGTATCTTTACCACAAGGAATTCAAGCCTAATTATTAGTATCGGACTGCACATGGCGAGCAAGGACCAGAAGTTCAGTTCAATCAAGGAGGTGCCTCAACAAGTTATGTCCCTCCTTCACATATGTTGAAATAGTTTAGATGCTCAAAAAGCTCAATTTATTGAGAGCGTTCAACACAAACCTAAAACATCAAATAATTAATTGCAACAGTTCTATGACTTACTGAACACTGCTAAACAGCCTTTATGAGATGATTGCACTACATATACAGAGTTATCAAGTCCACCCCCAAGGATTATTGGAGTCAAAATATTACAGATGATCAGTGAAGTATCGAAGATCACCAAGAGACTGGAGTTAATTTCAACTCATCTTCCTGATTTCAGCGTCACGCACAATTAGATTAAGTGGAGCATATTCTGGGATCTTCTATATTGAAAGACTAATCTGATTAGACATAATCTCGATGTTATACATATTAAAAAAAAAATTGATAACATCTTTAATACTTTGATGGATATCGATGGTAAAATGGACCTAAAAGACGTTTGCAAAAGGAGAACCTTAGAGCTTCTGGAGACAAATGGAGCAAATTAATAAAGCTTAAAGCTGCATACTATTTTACACAAGATCAACGAAGAGTGGGTAAATTCTTTGAATTTTTCTAGTGGCTATATTTCAAATTTGAGTCAATGTTTTGACATGAGAATGGAGAAGGATTTAGCACGAAGAGTCACGACTGTCATATATTTCTGCATTGTTTATTACCTATTACATTTCATGCGCTGCCGAAACGGGTGCTTGATCCCTCGATCGAAGTCAGTATATTCCTTGGAGTGTTTTGTGTATGGACACTAAATTTTGACTTGTTGAGACATCTTGATGCAATTATGTAAGCTTGAGCGGATATTTCTTCTTGGTTTTTTTGACCTTATATAGTATCTGCATATACATCTATGTTACAAGGCTAAACTTGCCGAGCTAGTGCGGTACAGATGGATGTAAATGGTTATAGATTTCATACGAGCTCTTAGTGTGAAGGGAATAATACATAATTGTGGTGTCACTATCAAATGAAACACACGCACCGTTTGCAAGAATAGCTTTTACGGCGTACTTGATGAAGTAATTCACTTTCAATATAAAAAAAATGCTAGCTACATTATAAACTTATTCAACTGTCAGCAGTTTCATCTTATTACAAATCGAGAAACCACAACACTTACGTCTTATGATATCAGTGAAGTCAAAATAAATAGACGATATACGAAGTTTAATCCATTTGTTCTGGCACTCCAAACAATACAGGCTTATTACATTCGATATCCTGGTAAATTAAGAGATAACGCTGATTGGGATGTGATTATGAAGAATAAACCATGAAAAATTATTGAGTTGTATAGTAGTATAGAACCAATTCACCAAGAGGAAGGTGCGGCGGATTTCGTATTCAAGGTGGCACAAAAGATAAAATGTTTTAGCTAGAGGATACCACGGAGATTCTTAAAAAGGTTCCACATGGTATGGATGAGGACGATATTAAGAGTGAAGAAGAAATTTTAGGTTCATCTTCGACTATGAATTTTTTTTATGATACTTAATTACAAAGGTATGTAATTTTAGATTAGTGGTTACTATTGCTACTTTTTCCTTTTACTTTTGATGTATTGAGGCATAGTTGTTTACTCTTGCTTTTCCTGCTTTTAGACATAACTGCTACTTGTGTCTTACATTTATTGCACTATTTCATTCGGTTTATGATTATTTTCCATGCTAATACTAATCTTATTAATGTCATTCCTTTGTTTGTATATGGCCACAAGTGTTGCAGGTGATCGACCACCCAGAGGCCCCATGACACCTGCAACACTTGTGGTCATCTGCAAACAAAGGAATGACATTCCTTTGTATTAATGTCATGTTAATACTTCTGTTACCGCTCCCTCACCCTCTGCTGCCACACCTCTTATGACAACTGCTCCCACACCTGCTATTGCCACCCCTTTCGTGACACCTTCTCCCGCACTCGCTGTTGTCACCCTCCTTTAACACCTGCTCCCGTACCCATTACTGCCCTGCCTCTTGTGACGCCTGCTCCCTGGCCAACTTCTTCCTTGCCTATTGTTTCCACGCCTACTCTCCCACCTGTTGCGCCCGCTTCTACTATTGGCACATCTACTGCCCCACCTACTTCGACGCCACTTAAGCCTAGCCCCTCGACTCCTGTTCCCTTCCCCTCCTGAGATTATATTCAGTGTCATAGGAGGACTCATAAGTTATTTTTAATATTATTTTATGTTTATTCTTTATTTTATATTTTTTTATTTGTATTTTTCTTAATCAGATTCAATTCTCACAAGATGCTCGTCACCTACATCACAGAGATTATCATGAGTAGCTATGATCAGCCCTTTTTCTTATGAAAGCAGATCCCTACAACCACCCAGGACTTGTGGTTCAGGGAGTTCATGGTACGATCATGTAATATGAATCAAATTTGTATTTTTTTACATGCTAACACATGGATTATTTTTTATGCTACATAGGTTCTTCACCTGACTCCCAAAGCACCATTATCATATCTGTTGAATCTTCAAGATTTGGGGCAGTCATCGCCTTAGAGACACGTCCTCAAGCAGCCTACCTGGATCGGTGAGGAGATCTTGGGTCAGTTGGTTGTAGCCTAGGCTCTCCTGCTTATGAGAGGAAGAGGAAGACGAATCGAGTGAATCGGTCGACTGAGAGGGCCAGGCGTGTTGTGCTCCATATTGGCGGATCATCTCCCCTTACAGAGCACTATAGGAGGTATTAAGATTCTTTTAAATATTTAAAAATTCAATCTTTGAAGAAATTTTGTAGCATTGATCAATTTTATATGTTTCACAGGCAAAGGAGTTTAGTCATGAGCCCTTTGTTGTGGAGTTACACGTTCAAACTCATCGGCGCCCGGGGACGCACCAGTGGGTCTCACAGCATTCCCGGCAGGTTGTTGTAAGTATAAAAAAAAAATTAACTTTATTTTGACTCTTACTATTAGAAGTGTAAAATAAGCAATAGTTGTAATTTGGTAGGAGGACTTTGAGCAGCTCTGGGAGAGACACTTGGCCACTCAGACCCAGAATTTCGCTAGCAGCACTGGTAGTCAATCTACTACTGTACAATCTGAGCACGAGCTTAGAACTCTGGTGAAGGGGAAGAAGAATGGGAGGATTTATAGCCTTGATGCGAAGGGCATAATCCCTGTGGCCCATTATTGAGTTCCTCGAGCTCCTCACAGCCATATTAGGAGTGTTGGGCAAATTGTTGCAATGAACAAAGAGCTCGGTCAGTTGCGTGAAAAGATTATAGAAGTTCAACATCGGGTTAAGGACTCTATAGTGTGCATGGCGAAGGCTTTAGCAGATTGTCGGACCAAGTGGTTGGTGATAGCCATAGAGGAGGAGGACGACAACGACGACGAGCGAGATGATGAGTAGTTTTGTTTCATGTTTTCTTTTATATGCCTGCATTAATTTGAATGTTTACTGTAGAACTTTTGGCTAATTTTATTATTCTTATATAGGTCAATTTGTGACAGTATCTTAATTTTCATTATTGATGTGTTTGAGCTTTATTTGATCATTGTGTATGTGCTAGGGCGTCCCCTGGAAGCGACGCGCTGTATAGCGACCTGCAATGCTCTATGGCGTTGAATGTTGGGCTTTCAAAGAGAAGCATAATAATAAGTTAAGTGTCACTTATCATTTTGTTATCATCTCCGACTGTCATTATCACTAGTCACCCACTCTCGCCTACTTGCAATTACCCTCATCCATATTTTAAAATACTTGAAACTATTGTAACAATTGCAAATAAATATTCAATTCATTAATTACAACCTAAACTGATACGCGATCAACAAATTTTCATCATCTCACACGAATCTTAAGACATGACATGAATCTCAAGATATCTTTTTAAGCAAAAAATATTTAAATTTTGATTAGAAGTCATCCAGGTCTCAACAAGAAGAATCCAACTAGCCCAAGATTACTAAATTCTTACATCATTAAGGCATTTAAATGTCTATAGAACGTCATCCAATCAAGGGAATCTCCTCAAGTCGTTTAATCAGAGTGGTTCAAATTTCTTTCTTATTTGCAGCATGTTCTCTATAGAGTCTGACCCCACTCTCGAGGATGGGACTAAGCTTTGAGCAAGAGGGAGACCAGAGGCTAAAGAATAGGGAGTTGAAGTCTGACATCCTGAGCTGACGATTCGACAAACGCCTCACACTCTTGTAGCTATTGATCAATGTCGACCACCACTCGATTGCCACCACTAACCATCATCAACTGCCTCCTTTTGCTTGCAAGGAAGCACCGTGAGAAGCCGCAACAGACATTGTGAAATCATAAAGCAACCTACAAAGCGACGCATCATCTCGAGCTTCGTACCAACCTGCTCTTGAGGAATGGACTAAACTTTATTTGCAACACGGTCTCTATAAATAGAGTCAGACCACATTCATAAGGAGGGGATTAAGCCTTGAGCAAGAGGGGGACCAGAGGCTAAAGAATAGGGAGTTGAAGTTTGGCATCCTGAACAGACGATAAGACAAACGCCTCCCGCTCCTGCAGTTGTTGATTAGTATCGACCACCACTCGACAACCACCACTAACCATTATAGACTACCTCCTTTTGCTTGCAACGAAGCACCGTGAGAAGCCGCTATTGACATTGTGAAATTATAAAGCAACCTACAAAGCGACACATCATCCCGAATATCGTACAGACCCCCACCCCCCAATAACGGTGCACCAAAGCTTCGACAGTCAATCCCCGCTGAGATCGCTCCCTTTCCCCGAGACAACGAGTTCTTTTGAGAATCGATGTTGTAACCTAAGAAATAGTGTAACCCTTTCCCGCCTGTGGGATAAGGAGTTTTGTCTGTAATCAACAACTCATAGTGAAACATTTCAACTCAGCAATGCCCCGTGATTTTTTATCCTTTTTAGAAATTTTCATATAAAATTGAGATGTCTAGTTCTAATTAATTCTCTTTAATTATCTGAGTGTGTGTTGGAGTCTCGTGCAATGCTAAGACGATAATTTATCACTCTACCATTGAGGACATTCCGACACGCATCACAAACAAACATTTTCAACAATATCAAAATACATACATTATAATTTATCATCAATTTCAAAATACATTTATTTTTAAAAATATCCAATCAGTCCCCTATAAAAATTTTGACACCACAATCCACATCTAATGGTATATTTGAGACAACTGCAATTATTTATGGAAATAGCTGTGAAACAGCTCCAGAATAAATCACTTTCCAAAAAGTTGCGGTGTCTATTAAAATTTTATTTTATTTTAAAAAAACCAAATTGTAGTTTTTTGATAGCCACTATACTTTAACAACTCAGATTAAAAAATGCAGATTTCTACCACAAAAATTTCTAAAAACCAGTAAGAAAATAATTCCCCAAATAAAGTTGTTGTGACTGTCTGAAAAGCAAAGTAGGTAAAAAACTGTCCCAAATAGACCCTAAATCATATCCTGCCAAAAATTGTTATAGATTTGTAGTGTGAATTAAAATTTTCAAGTGTTATATTAATATTTGTAAGGATATAATTGGTATACAGGTAAATAACTAATTAAGTTCTGTACATGATCCATCAGCTTGCATCTATGTTTTAGGAAATTTTGTATTCTAATATAATCTCATAATAAGTTCAATAATGTTTATGTCACCACGTCTTTCAAGAATTTACAATTATAACCTTCAACGGTAGATTGATAATTTAAAATTGCTCTTTCTTCCATCTTCAATATTCTTCTTCAGAGGCCCGGTTGGTTTAAATTCAAATTATGGAATCTTGCACTCAACACATTGTTGGCTGATAAGCATCAATACTACTTTTACTTTATTTTTCTATTTTTTTTTCTAAATATTGATTTATAGTGCGTTTAGTCATTTCTATTTTTTGAGGTCATGAAGTGCGGATCTTTCGAGAGCCTCTCTGGCCTACTTGTATGCATGAGAGAAGAAAATATAAACTATATTTCATGCATTGTTGCGTCTGCATGTCCGCGCTATCTTGATGAAAAGATTGTGATGTGGCTATTAGGCGGCATCATAAATGCGGATTGACAAGTGGCTTTGTGTGTAACGATGATCTTCCCCAACAGTTAGTCCCGAGTTAGCTCGACCATTAGCTCAGTGGGTGGGCTTAGCACAACCAATTCGGCAAGTGGGGCTCAATTTTAAAATATTTTGATCTTCCAATATAGGCCTCCAAAGCCCACAAAATTTGTTGATCTGTGAGATGTATCATTAGAAATATCAAAAAATTAAATGTTATAGATATATAAGAATTATTGTAAGTAAATGTTATATAATATTATCATCTGATTAGTTCTTGCATTAGGTTTGATGTGATATCAACAAATTTAACTTTCAGCATGAATCTCGAGGCATTATTGTGATTACAGATGTCTTGATTAAAGTTAAATATCATTCTAAACTCAAATTTCAACAAGCTTATAGTCAAACTGACCAGCTAGACGAGCGAACCTAATAATATCAAAATTGATCTAATCCAAGTCTAATCAAGCCCAATTCAAATCATTAAACATTTTTTTTGCAATCTTTTGGTGGTTAATTAAAAGGTCAAATAGAAACTCAATTTGACAAGCTTATAGTTAGTCGAGCGTCTTGATGAGACGAATTCAACGAATCTAAAATCACTTAATTCTAATGTCATTAAGCACTTACATGTTCAAAAAATATCATTTGATCGAAGGAATTACTCTGAGATGTCTGATGAAATGATATGAATTCATGCAGTATTATGGACAATGTCACTCCCAAAATCAATAAATACTGACCCACTCCCTTTATCAAAAGGGGGGCTAAACCTGGACCTGGACTTGGAGGAAAAGGAGATTGAGCCAATTTCCAAAGTTGATCTGGACCAAAGACCCAACAAAACTGCAAGTAGGGCTCTGAATTTAGCTTGAAACTTGTTAATCACTTGAAAATTGAATTGAATTTTGGCTCGAATCGAAGTAAATGAGCTGAGTTATGAGATAAAATTTTGGATCAAATTTTTTTCGAGCCGATTTTGAGCCGAACTCGGCTCGGCTCAAGTACGGATCGGCTCAAGATCGGATCGTTAGCAGCTCTAATTGCAGACCACCATCAACCAACGCCCGCCAGCCTCCGTTGAGCACTATCGAGCACCCCTGTTTTTCACATTTGGTGGCCCTTATGGAGTAACGGGGTATGTTGTAGTGAAGCGCTATGCAGATTAACAACGGGGTACGTTGTAGTGAAGCACTATGCAGATTAACAACGTACATTGCGGAATAACGAAGTATTGTGTGGAGTAGCGACATATGTTGCAGAGTAACAAAGCATTTTGCAGAATAATGAAGTACATTACGGAGTAATAAAGCACAATTAGAAGTAATGATGTGCATTGAGGAATAACAAAACACCCTACATCGTAATGTGGTGTCCTGAATACCCTCCAACAACATACCTCGCATCTCCACCGATAACTTCTAGTAGCAACTGCTCCCAACTATTTGAAGAAATATTGTAACCCTTTCCCGATTGTGGTATAAGAGAATTCATATTTGTATTCACAAACTTATAATAGATTATTTTGACTGGGATATGCCCCGTGGTTTTTTACCTTCTTAAGATTTTTCATAAAAAATATCGTGTTATATTTGCATTCTATTTCTCTTTTATTTTTCTATGTGAATATATTTTGGATCTTTATACAATGCTAATACGTTAAATTATTAGTTTTTTTTTGCGGCGAATTATTCGTCATACAACAATGTTAATAAGAGAAGTTATTTTAAAAATTAATATTAATGAAACCCTTGCACTTCTATAAATAGATTCTTGTTCCATTTAGGTATATTAAGAAATGGGCAAAAAAGTACGATACTTTCCAATTTAGTGTTTTCTCCTCATCTTTCTCATTCTAATTCTTCGAGTCATTGCCATCCTCGAACTGATATCTATTTATATAACTCTTATTCGATTCTCCCCCACCAACTTCCAGAGTTATCAACTTCATCAACCCAACGTTTATCGAGATCCAAGAAACGAGATCATATCAAAAATCCCCGGCCTCCTCTTTTTCCTAACTAGCAACAAGAAAAAGAATTAATTTGCTTTTTTCTAAGACCATGCATTCAAGCAATAGCTTTCAATAGGTGAATGACCTTTCAATAACTTTCTTCACGCATAGATCTCAATTAAAACTGACCAATCCATTGAAACTTTTTTCATCTCAATTGTTTGCAATCCAACTATAGAATTTGCATCTTGTTATAACCCTTATAAGCAAATGAACACTTTCCTTTTCACTTGTCCACATACCTTGAGAAATTAATGATATGTGCCCACTTGCAATAAAGAAGATTCCCCCAAAAGTAGAAAGGGAGAAAGCCACAAGGTAATAGATGATTCCTCTTTCTCACTTTTGCTATTTTTTACACTCCATTCCTTCCCTTTCTTTAAATTGCCTTTTTAAGTATGTTATTTACATTTTTGCCCCTTCAACACTTCCATTTCAAAAGC